CCACCCCGCCGCCCTTTTATTCCTGGCCGTATGAAGAGGAGGATCAAGTACTCAGTCGTGCTTGAAATCATGACTATTTTTGCAGTCGCAACAGCGTAAAGTGTGTCAGCATGTATCCACATTGACTAAAATATTTGCGTTAAGTTTACCAGAAGGAATATTACATCCTGTGTGTCTGTGTGATAAAGAAATAACTGAGAAGTGAAGAAACAAAATGCCGAATTCGTGTCTTTGATAAAAATTGGCACAAACGATTTCGTTCAGTGATACAATCAAAACAAAAAAAGTGTCTATTGTTTATATAAAGTTCATCCTCCGGAAAAGGGAAAGATTAGCCTTTCGAGATGTCGAGACCCCAAAATATTTATTCGACACTTTTTACTGCCCGTTTTACGGGTACGTGATGAAGAGGTTGCCAAATCCATAAGAATCTTCTGCTACTTTTAGCCGGAGTCTACTCAGTCCGTCACTTCACTTCTACAGACTAGTTTCCAGTACTTTATTCTCAAACCTCGGATGCGCATGTTAGCTGATGGCTTACCGCATGTCAGCATTGTGGGCGCTCTTGCGAAAGTTGACATAGCCTACAGCACGTGCACAACATTATGGAGACCAAAGCGAAAGTGGCCAAAGTGGAGGTACTTTGCTTTTGCATTGAGAGTTTACCCTATATGCAAAATATGTGATGCCTGTTGTTGCTTTAGGAATCCTCTAACGGTATGGAAGTCGATTCAGCAACTTCAAATCATATGGATGAGAGCAAGGAACCATGTCAGAAGCAACCTTCGTCTACGACGCCGGATTCCAAACCTTCTGCCTCTGAAATGACAAGTGCTGATTATTATTTTGATTCCTACGCTCATTTCGGTAAGTAAAGCTTGTTTATGACGTGTCTTTCGTGACGAGAGAACATCTACTAACTGTGTACTGTTTTTGACATGTTTGGGATGACAAATAATCCATGTGATGATGGATACCGTTGTGTCTTGTCAGGAATCCATGAGGTATGTGACGATCCCCTACAACACGATATCGTGTTTGGGGTGACTTCAATCGAGAAGATAACCTGCCGAGCGATTTGTAGCAATTTTACGTAGAATAAGTTGCAACTGTAGACATGTGATGTACATGATAAGCTCATGTAAGCTGCATTCAGTAGTCAAACGTCGGCATTTCTAATTCGTCTTTTCCAACCAACTTTTTTATTACTTGCTACAAAAATGTTTTTTCATTGTAACCTTAAATGATGCTGCAAATTATAGTCTACAGAAGTGCTCATTTTCGTAGAAACAGCATTATTTTGCTTCATAAGCAAATGGGAAATTATATCAAAAAAATTGTTGTTGCATTTTTGCCTTCCTGAGGATGAGGGCAGGTGTTAATATTCAAAATGTGCTGGATTCTACAAGACACACAAACATGATTTTGCAGAAAAAAAAAACATTGTGGTGAAATGAAGTGATTTGTTAGTGTGCAAAACAGCCAGCCCTATTCAGTTTGACACTACAGTATTTATGTGGGATGCAATGTGAAGTGCAAATTTTGCAAAGTGGGGGGTTTCACTTGAGGGATATCCTCAGATACTCTTCAGTTTTACCTGTGCCATGTGAAATGTTTAGATCAATTTATTGCATGGGAGGAGAATCATTAGATGGATTATAATCTGGAGTCTGAAATTTGATGCACAAAAATACATGTGCTGCTTTCAGCCCAGATATACCCTTTAGTTTCACTATTCGAACCATTACATGTGGGGTTTCCACCAAAAACCAAGTTTCTTGGGTTTTTATTTTGGCATGCTGAGAGGGAAATGGGAGATGTTATCCATGTATAATGCTTTGTGTTGTTTTCCTAGCCCTGGCAGCTCCCTTGCACATATGTTAATGACCTAATGCTCTTCTACAACAGGAAATGATCAAGGATGAAGTACGCACAACAACATATCGCAATGCAATGTATTACAACAGGCATCTGTTTCGTGACAAAGTTGTTCTTGATGTTGGCTGTGGCACTGGGATTTTGTCCATGTTTGCTGCCAAGGCTGGTGCAAAGCATGTCTATGCTGTGAGTGATTTCTTTCCCTTTGTTAGAACATTTGACTTTAACTTTAAGATCTGTTTAAGAACTGTTTTAAGGCACTGGAATCTCCAAGTTAGCCAGCATGAAGCAGATGGAAAATACTTCAAGTAGGAGCTGCAAATTTTGGTGATTTTGCAATACATACACATGTAGATGGAAAAGTTTGTTGTCTGCCAGCTCTTATTGAAGCCTTTTCTACTATTGCTTATGAGCTAGTACTTCTAACCACACATTAGATACTGTATTGCACAAGCCAGTATGTTTGGATGATATGAGATGTTTACTGCTGTCCTCTTCTGTGCACTGTCATGAGAAACATAACTGTCCAATGGTTTGTACTGACTGCTAAGCCACTCTTTCTATATGTAGGCACAAATATGTCATATACATGTATACTTGTAACCTGTTTTATTAGTACGTGTATATCCATGTAGACTGTACTACAAAATGCCTCCAGTAACTCCATTGCTTTGTTTTATAGGTTGATTTCTCCTCTATTATCGACTATTCCAAGCAAATAATCAAGGACAATGATTTTGAAGAAGGTACGGTAAAGGTAACATCTGCATACAAGCAAAGTGGCTCATCAGACCGGTGCTTATCTCCGGTTTCTGTAGCATTAAGGGACTAGCAGTATTCCTAGTGTTTAGTTCCAGAAAATATCCATACCCCCACCACTGAGGGAATTTCACCTAAGACCCCCCACCTCCCCAGAATTTCCATTTTCTGAACACAAAAATAACGTGCCTTCCCCCTCCGGAATTTCCAAGAGTATTATGTACATCCCCCGTACCCTCTGAAAAATTCATTTTGGCAAGAAGGTGTGTTAAAGTTAAAGTGAACACTCCAAATGCTTGGCTGTCTGTGTTGCATCTCACTTCTGTTTATTTTCGCTTGAAGGTAATAACTGAAGATACGCACTAAGAAAACATACAGCATTTTTTTTAACATGCCTTACAAGTAAAAAGAAAAAAAAAAGATTACTTTTCAAGTTACATGTACCTTCCAATATCACTAGGTCCCTTTGTAAATGTGGTACAATCTCCATTGAAAGACTGTTAAGCTGTGTGTGGATGAAATTGACACCATACTTTTATCATGAACGTGGTCGCTTACACACTCCCGGAGAAAGCCAATTTTTACAGCAAAATTACAAACAAATTGACAGAAATAACAAGAACAAGAAATTCTCAAGTTTCTGAACTTATAAAGAAACTAATTTTTATGAAAGAAATTGGCTGCTGCTTGACAGCTTCGAGGAGCTACGTGATAAACGAACTAGGCTAGTCACCAGTGCTTTTCTGTCCATTAAGTGACTTCATGTAGCCTGGTAACAAGTGATGGCGCCCATGTTCATGAAACATCATGTTCTTCGCACTTGTTAGCTTCCAAAGTACTTTTTGAACAAAGAAAATTTATTCAAATAAAATTTGATTTACATGTAAGTGTTCAAGCTACTATTTTTTCGTGCAAAAGATCTACTTAGTGGGTAAGAAAGGATTTTTGAACAGCTAGATCGATACTTGAATCTGTATTGAATCAAAGGACATCTGGAAACTAAATCAACTGTTCAACCCCCCTCCCCTCCAGAATTTTTGAATGTGACGGGGGTATGGATATTTCCTGGAACCACACAATCCCTCCTGGATAAATGCTAGTCCATTGCATGGTTACCCCTTAGCAATATATTTGCTAGTACCGATTTGTACACCTGGGTGGAGAGAGACACTGTGAGAATAGAGTGTCTTGCCCAAGAACACAACACAATGTCCCCAGCCAGGGCTCAAACCAGGACCTCTCAATCTGGAGTCTAGGGCACTAACCATGAGGCTGCTATGTCTCCTAAGACACTATAAAATGTTTGTGGGCAATAAATATGTTTTGATTGACACAGCTGTAGTGCTCTTCCAAAACTGAGACTTCTCATTTTCTGACTGGTAGTTGGTCGCTATGTTTTATCTCCAGGAACTCGAAACAAGTTGTCTGGTTTACTACAGTATTACTACAAAAGGTTCAAGAGGAACTTTTTCGTGAAACATTTACGTCCAGCAAAATAGACATGCAAGTTGTCTTGTCTCTGTAACAGAACTTGTTTAACGCAATCTGTGTGCAACACCTGTATAACACTATGACTTTGTGAGACATCTGGCAACACTGAAGGCTAGCTTAACTCAGCTTCTACTCGCTGGATGAATGCACACTGATTTTTTAAATCACCTTTCCACATGATTGTTTTTGTTTTTTCTTTTAGTCATCACCCTCATCAAAGGCAAAATTGAAGAAGTTGAGCTTCCCGTTGACAAGGTTGACATCATTATCAGTGAATGGATGGGCTATTGCCTTTTATATGAGTCAATGTTGGACACTGTGTTATTTGCCCGTGATAAGTGGCTGGTATGTGAAATGAATGAAAACAATCTTGGAAAATGTTCCTAGAGGAACCTTTAGCATGTTTGTGAATTGCATTTATTTTCATATACTGGATTTGGATCTTCTTATTATTTTCTCTATTTCTTGCAGAAACCTGGTGGGCTGTTGTTTCCGGACAAGGCGCAACTGTATCTCTGTGCTATTGAAGACAGGCAGTACAAAGAGGATAAAATTTATTGTAGGTGTCGGCTAAAGTGTTGGCTATTTGCACAAAAATACTCTGAGATGGATAGCCAGACACAGACTGAATGACCGACCCCAGCTGACTGAATGATTGGCTGATCATAACGTGTCAATGTATGGGAGAGTAAGTATCTAAAATGTGAAATCACTTGTTTTCAGGGTGGGACAGAGTTTATGGGTTTGACATGAGCTGTATCAGGAAAGTAGCCCTAACAGAACCTCTTGTGGATGTTGTTGAGGCCAAACAAGTCGTCACTAATTCTTGCTTAGTGAAGGTAAGTTTAGAAAAAGATATCTGTTATTGTAATACACATATATGAAGTCCCTGTTCTACCCTTCCATTACTTCATTCAAAAACAAAGAAAGTGCTTAGCTTCACTTCACTTCACTTCACTTCACTTCGAAAAGCACTTCAGTTCAATATGATAATAACTGAAAGTAACAAACTGCATTTCAGCATCCTCAAAATGTCATGGTCAAGACTTTCAAAATATGAAGGCCTGAGTTTGTACGAACCTTGTTAATCTGGTAACCAACAGGCCAAAAAAATCTGGCTGTATTAACGGGGTAGCCATACTGTTCTTTAAATAAGAAAATGATTGACTGAGCTTTTTGCCATAATAAATGAGGTGGCCATATTAATGGGGTGGCTGTAAAGTACAGTTCCAATGTATGTTTAAATATGTGTAAAATATAAGTTGAAGCAAAATTATTTAAGTGGCAAGACAAAGTGCCAATAATGGAGAAAACATACAAAACATAAAGAGTTGTTTGAAACTTGACAATGACACCTTGACAAGGCTGTGGTCTAAGGAAAATTGCAAGGAGCCCAAAGGTTCCTAACCATGAAATCCTGGGTGTCCACGACTTAAGCTTATATGAAAAAAGTTAGTTTTTCCAGTCACCCAAAGGCAAAAGTTAGTTACCCGTGGCATCCGGGCACCTCTAGAACACAGCCCTGCCTTGAAGATCCCAAAATTTTTATTACTTTCACTTAAATAGCCTTTGTTTCTGAGAACCTCCAGGGGGAATACAATATTATTGAGTTATAAAGCACAATAGAAGTATTGAG